ATTACTAGTGCAAGGAAAATGCAAAAAATATACAAGTACCTGAAAATAATTGCTGCATGATATATGCTATCAAGCAACATATTTGAAAACAATGACTTGAAGCAAGGAAAATCTATTTCATTAATTTAAGTAAAAAAATTTTTAAAAATCACTGTAAAATAAGATACAAAGGCTCTAAAAATCATTCATAATTTATAAATCCTGCATATACTCATTAAGACACTTAATGCTTTAAATTTTATAAGTAATGGGGACATTTCCTTAAGTATAGTAAAGTAGTCATAGACAGCAGGCAAAATGACAACAGAGAATTTTACATATATTTGTTAAGAATGTATATATGCTTTTTATATTCTACATCTAAAACATTTTTCATATTTAATATTCAAATATTTTCTGATAATATGCAAAAATACTTTTTCACAATTGAACTCCTTCCAATATTAAAGATAGCTCAGTATTTTTTGTATTTAAAGAGTGAGACACAGGCTGTCTTGATAGATGAGTACGTTTTTGTTTCATTTTCCCCATGCAATTATTATGCCTTTTAGACATACTAAGTTGAGTCGTACCCCAATTGGCAATAAGATTTAAATCCTCTGGAAGTAAAGTATTTGATCTCCTGTTGTCTTCTCTTATTTTCATACCAACAGTCTTCTCTGGATTGTGGTTAATACGTTTATAGCCTTTGGTCATCTTCTGGCTTTGACCAGTGTGATATTTTTCACTGATACATGGGCTTTTCATTCCAGTGTGACATATAATATTCTTATGATCAATGGAAGGAAGAAATGTTTGAGATGATATTTTCCCAAATGATCCAGTGGGTAAATCTTGAAAATACCTTGGGAAATGTTGGCTAATTTTATATTCATGGATTAATTTTCTTGAATTTGAATCATCTAATTTGATAGAGCACAGATCATCTATTGTTATATTCTGATGGGTATCTGTTGGACTTCGAGGTGTATTCATTTTATCAGAATTACGTTGAGATATGCTAGGTAAAATTCCATGTCTATTTTGTTTTAAGATTAAACCAGTACCAGGAATAAAAAGTTTTGATTCTTCCTGCTTTGATGGATGAATGATGTCTATGTTTGAAACAGACTGTTGTGTTTGTCCATTCATTGTTGTATTTTTCCAGATTAAAGGGTTATATATAACTTGCCCATCAACAGGGCATGAATTGCACTTGTGGAATAACCAACTGTCAATACATTTCCTATGAAACTGAAAAAAAAAGATTATAAGTCACCCAAATTTGTAATTTTCTCAGACTATTCTTTTTGTTTCTTCCGTAAAACTTACCAAAAACTATAATTATCTTGTTTATTGGTTTATTTTCTCTTTCCCTGACTAGGATATAAGCTTTATGACAGCAGAGATTATTCAC